TTAGATTTAGGAATTATGGGTTTACAAATGTAATTAAAGATAGAATGTTGGACTTGGGTTGTGGCTCAGAGGCAAAGCGCTTGCCTGGCGTGCATGAGGCACTGGGTTCTATCCTTAGCACCACATAAAATAAAGTTATTGTGTCCACATATAACTAAAAATAAATATTTAAAAAAGATAGAATGATAATGTGATCCAAAAAGTTGAGTGTTGTCACGTTAGAAGAGAATTGGTAAGGCCTGAACCCAGGGGAAACAATAAAATGTAAGGTTATATAGAGGAGGAGCAAGCAGATATGTGAATAAACCAAGAAATTAAAGCATATTCTATCCCAGAAACATGTCAGAATTCTTCTATATCAAAATCTTTCTGATACAGAACTGATATAATCAATTAACACTCATTAGAACAACTTGATAGCAACTGACTGAATGTGCCCCAAATACCAAATACTCCATTTTCCATCTGATACAATGGCAACAATTCTTGGGATTAAGAGTCATTTCTAGTTGTATGATTATTAATGATAAACATAACATTTGTTATTCAATAAATATTCAATGGATCTGTTATTATAATCAATCACTGCATTAGGCCATCGCTTCAAATTATTAGCTAAAGTTTGTATGCGTGTGTGCACACGTGTGTGTGTGTGTGTGTGTGTGTGTGTCTGGTTCTGGAGATTGTCCCAAGAACCTTGTGTTACCTACAAAAGTGCTCTGCCAACACAGAGCTACACCCCAGCTTCCTATTAGCTAAACTTTGTTTCCTTGTTCTTCTTCATACCCTTTGCTTTTCGTTACTTCCAAGAAAATTTTATGAAATTCCCCTTTCAGGAGAGGTAAAACTGATAGAATGGCCAAGAATAAAGAGCTTTGACCTCTGAATTACATATTTAAAAAGTGAGACAATAATCTGAACAGCCTGTTCTTCTTAATAGTTCTCCCTTCTTTGGAAGAGAAAAAGACTTGTAGGAGAGCTAGGAACCATGTGGATTTGATGATGTCAGAGAAGCTTTCCACCACTGGAAGCATATGCCATTATTAAATCATAATAGTATGTGTAGAAGGATATAAAGGGATGTGATTAAGGTATAGAGGTTGCCTGGGTTTCTGAGAAGGACTCAAGGTCCCAGGGAGGGCAAGGCGCTAATAGAATCTCCTATAGTCTGAGGCAGAATCTGTAAATAGAAAGGATTTGTGATCTTTTCCCCAGGGATTGTCTTGGGAAACTACTTTTTAGAGAAATTCTGCACACAACATGGGATCTGCATGTTAATGAGGCTATGCCTAAGGGGATGATTTTTTTTTAAAACAGGGATATGGGTTTGCAATGTAGCAGAGTTTATGGTGCTAGAAATACATGTAAGCATGTCTGAAATTTCCAATGGAATAAAGTCTGAACAAGTGTGTGAAGCTTGTGTCTGGAAACTACAGCAAAGATTTTGGTCTTGAGTAACCAGGGCTCAGTCCAAAGAACTGGTGGGAGTATCTCAAATAAGACAGATGGTGTAGGCACCAGAGGCCTTTCCCCTTTACCAGAAAGCTGTATGTGAGTTCCCTAGAAATGGGTTTCTTGAGGGAAAAGGGAAGGAGAAGGGAAATGGAAAATCTCAATTTAAAACTCAATGTTAACACATAAGAAGCTGAATTCTAAATCAGAACTGACAGTTATCTTGGGGTTGCAAGGTGATAAGTTTTATTTGTTTGTTTATTTATTTTGCTATTGCTGGAAATGAGAATTTGAGAACCAAGTTGGATACATTTAGATGACTAAAGAATTAGAGAAATGTGATTTTGTGTGTGTGTGTGTGTGTGTGTATGTGGTGCTGGACATTGAACCCAGGACCTTGTGCAAGTGAGGCAAGCAATTTACCGACTGAACTATATCCTGAACTCTAGAAATATGAAATTTATGTATGCCTGACTTTTGTTAAGATGTAGATTTTGAACTTACACATTGTAGTTATTATCGTATTATGGTTCTTAAGGAACAATGTTTCTGAAAGTTCTACAGGTCAGATGAGATGCAGCAGGATAGAGTTAAGAATGAGGTTCTGTTCATTTCAGCTGGAGAATGTCTACTTTTAATACAAGGAGGGTGCTCATATCATTGCACTTGTAGTAAGACTTCCTCCTCTAAAAGACATTTGAAGGTGAGTGTGGTGGTGTACACCTGTAATTCCAACAACTCAGGAGGCTAAGGCAGGAGGAGCACAACTTATCCAGGGGCTAAACAACTTAATGGGACCCTGTCTCAAAAAAAAAAGACATTTATATATATATATATATAAAGGGGCTAGGCATGTAGCTCAATGGTTAAGTACTCTTGGGTTCAATCCCTGGTCCAAAAAAAGAAAAAAAAATGAACAAGCACTGCTTGACACTCTTTGCTACCCCCTTCCTTTTAAGGGGATTATTTGTGCATTAACCTTATCTAGATGATAATTAATTTAATTATATTAGTTTTCTTTGAGTCTAGTGCATTCACAGTAGCATGTCAAGGAAAACCCTTCTAGTTAGACCCTGATAGTGCATTCAACATGACCCTAGGGAGAAGGTTCTAACAAATTCTAAGGCATTTATTAGCAAAATTAGCTTTCTGGGAGATCCTTCTCATCTACTAGAATATTATTTGTTAATGTATCCTTGCTATATATTTTTTTTTTGTTTAAAACACAAGAAAGTCTGAGAACTCAACAACTTCAGAATAGCAGTGAAATCTAATAAGCAGGATCCCCAGAGGAATGTTCAAATTACTGAAAGTTCAACTGTATATAATTCATAATTTTTATTTTATTCCATTATTTTCTACATTCAGAAAATGATATATAAAAGCTACATCGAAAATTAATTAATTGGGTAATCATTGGGAACACAAACATATTCAAAATAGGGTTAGTAGACAAAGTAAAACTTGTCTACAAAATCTGCTTTTTTCCCAATATCTTCTATTGTCCAAATTGTTCAAATGACAAGAGATCTTTAGATGATGCCGAACACACCAAATTTGAAAAGAAAAAAAAAATAAGATGGGGATTCAGTATTCAATAAAATAAAGGATTTGAAAACAGACTTATTTTCAAATCCCACCCTGGCCACTTACAGTAATACTTGCATTATCATCTTAAGTAAGTTATTTAACCTCTGGAAGACTCAGTTGCCTTATCAGTAAAATGGAGATTATAATATTGACCTTAGAATTTATGTGAGGCTTAGCAAGGATGATTTGAAGAATGTCTAACACCCTGCTTGGTATGCTCATCCAACAATAGCTCTGACATTGACAATTTTCTCACATCTCTTTGAAGCAGTAGCAAAGAAAACTAATAATCTATGTGAATAGCCAAGACAGTTAGAAACAGGGAACAACTAGGCAAGCCATCACTTAAAACAAACAAACAAAACCACAGTTTTGCTTCAGCCCAGACTTCATCCTAATGGGAAAGGGAGAACTATAGTTTGCTCCCTTTATAAAACTGACAACCTCCTGTTCTGCCTATGGATTTCTTCCAGAGGGCCCTGCACAGGTGGCAACAAGGGAAATTGCTTAATTTTTACTTTGTACTTTTTAATGCAAAATTGACAGTGAAAAAAGTTTATAAATATGATAGAAAAAGCTTTATAATTTGCACTATTCGTTTCCAACTGGTATATGCTTCCTATAGTGCATGTTTATCTTATGTTTTTCAAATGATACAAAAGAAGGGGGGAAAAGACTGCTTAATTTCTCTAATGAGTGGTTTAGGGAGTTCAACTGTAAGAGCCCCAAATTCTTCTTTTGAATTTTGAGAAATAGAAAGTCCAGTGGTCAATTTTCAGAATATAGCCTTAATTGGATCCAATTGTAACCATTTTGATTATAGGCCTTCCTTTTGCCTGCCCTAATTTTAAAATTAGCCAGTCTCATAGATTATACCCCTGAGCTCCTCCAATCAGGATGAGAGACAGCACTGTCAGGGTGAGGGACAGCACTGCATTAGGGATATATGCAGGTGGACTGCCCACCCAGGTACTCTTTTTTTTTTAAGAGAGAGGGGGGGGGAGAGAGATAGAGAGAGAGAGAATGAATTTTAATATTTATTTTTTTAGTTTTCGGTGGACACAACATCTTTGTTTGTATGTGGTGCTGAGGATTGAACCCCGGCCGCATGCATGCCAGGCGAGTGCACTACCGCTTGAGCCACATCCCCAGCCCAACACCCAGGTACTCTTGCTTGCTTGCTAGCCTGGTTCTGGTGGCATGCCCTCTGGCAGAAATATAGATCACCTTGCCTACCCACTTTTGAGCATGTGTTTGATTTCTTGTGGTACTTTGATATTTCTAACAGAATGTACACATATACCTGGCTGACCAAAACCAAAGAATAATTATGATTTCCACAAAACAATATTTATATCTTCAATTGAGTAAAAATGTTAGATGTGTTATTATGAAAACAATGTGCTTGTGCACTTTTTTATCTGTTGGTCCACACTCAGAATAAAAATTAGCCTATCTAAATACAGCAAAATAAACAAGATTGAAAAGACTGCTGGATGAATGCTAAAAGATTCAGTACAGTTTATTATACTGATCATTTTAACAGGAACAAATTAAGATTCACTTCAAACTCCTAGGCTAGGGAACACAATTAAAAGAGACACTCCTTACCTATAGAAAAGTAAAGCTGGCCTTTCAGTACTGATTACAAGGTGAGAGAAAATGAACACTCTGATGGCATTGCAATCAGTGTTTGTAATTTGTAAGTGCTGTTTAGAATACAATTCTAAAAAGGGTAGGTGTTGCTTTACAACTTTCAGAGGAAAATACCTATTGGCTCCAATGTATCATACACATATTTCAGTACAAATTATGAACTTACAACTGAACATGGAAAGATTATAAGACCTGCTGCCAGTGATTTTGCAAGTAACTTTTCTTTCCCTTCAATAAAATAAAGGCAGGGAAAAATAATAAAAATATTCAGAAACAACAATAAAAGGGGAAACTCATCTTACCTCCATCCAGCTCCTCAGATCCAAAATGATTCCTGTAGAAGAGCATGATTTCTATCTTGTAACACTTATAGATGGTCACCAAACAAACAAGCAGCAGGAGAATAGCACCAAGCCCTCCAGCAAGTTCAACTGTGTACATTAGCTCTGGAAAAAATAGCAATAGAGAATGATACAATTTTCACATCCTGAAAATCATGAATTCAATTTAATTTCACATTTTTCTGGATGAGACTTGATGTGGGTTATGGGTTACCATTATCTTTTCCTTTTTTGCATGAGAATTTGACCTCTCCATAACTTTAAGCTACGTTTCCTTGGTAACTGGATAAGGTGATATGTGGTAACTGTGTTGCTAAGTAACATTGCTTATGGTAAAAATGAACCTTGTTTGGTTGATTGCATTTGGACTGAGAACAATATAACTATCTGATTGAAAACTATAATATTGGGATTGCCTGAGTGCAGTAAATTTTATATATAAACATATCTCTTTGGAGATCCTATAAACTATGCTTTTGGAGATGATAAGAGCAATATTGGTTCCTGTGGATGTGAAGCTTTTAAGCCTGGGTGGTTTCTGCACTCACCAAATATGAATCTTGATCTCTCTCACTTGGGAGTTGGAACCATAGGAAAGTGAGGTGTCAGTGCCTGGAAGGCACTGTTGACTATTGCATACAGTGTCCAGAGGACTGCCTAATCAATGCTACTTGCTGACTTCTGCCAGGAGCAAAGACTTCCCAACTACATCTTTCTAGATGGGTGTCCTGGAGGTGGACCATAATCTTGGAGGCTGAATGCTTACTTGTATTTAAGAAGTAGGCTCCCTAGTGGATACCAAAGCAAAATATATTGTTAATATTTTCCTTTCGGTAAGCTTAATTTTTTCTATTTCTTTGCTTCCCATTATACCAGGGATGTTACTACATTCTATCCAAAAAGGGGGGTTTTCTTGACATCTTATATATCAATTGTGTGTATTACATAAATACTTAACAGAAAATTAGGGGGTAAAATTTTCTTTTTTTCTCCTTTAGCATTTATGAACATTATAACAAGATTACTTGTAAGTCACCATACACATACGTTGAAATCACATTACCTAAGTGTGTATGCATGTTGTCCTTGATCATTCTATTCCAAATATTATTACTGAGGGGTAGCTATTCTTTCCTGAGGCTGACTATTACCTCAAAAACTACTAGTTTCTTTAACTGCCATTAAGTACTAATATTTCTGAAATGAAAGCATTAAAATAATGATATTTTAGATTCCGAGAGAAACCATCATTGGATGAGTTATGTAATTTCATCACAATAGTCAACATAAGCTTAGCCTGAAAACTGAATCTATGCTAACATGTATTCTTAGGTTACAAGATCACTCCTGAGCTCTTACAAATGGGATGAAATCATGATTGGAACATTAGAGTAACATCAGTGAAAACTAGTTTTAAAAGTGTGCACATCATATTCTCATAAGAACATTGTATGTGTGTGTTTACATGTGATAGCACTTTTCCTATTACAATTACAGAAAAAACTTAGCCATATTTCTTATCATTTTGGCCTTTATTCCTAATTAAACAGTTTAATAAAGTAAATGCATATAATTACTGTTTAATTGAGTGTATTTTTCTCTATTTAGAAAAATTAAATGGGAGTTAGAAGAAAGCATTTTATTAAAAGGCTGGACTTTATGAATTAAACAGTAAAGTGAGGAATTAAATATTTTAAGAGTCTAAGTAAATCAATATAAAGTGTGGAAGAATGAGGTAACTCTAGCAGCTTTATCTGTTGACCCTTGTGAAGAACACACAAGATCCTACTGCAAAGGTACCAGGAACGAAATACAAAACACTCTTTCAAATGATGTTTCCCTCCTGTGATGTGAACAGAAAGGATAAGTGGGTAGATAATACTGTGGAGTGAACTGGCTCTCTTAGGATATGAGTTAAACTCTACCATACACAGAAGCCTGTATAAAACTGGAACTTACACCCAGAGGGTGGCTTATATGCCAGAAAAATCTGATTTAAATACATTGGATATTATGGAAGAGATAAGCATTTAGACTGTGTCTTTTTCTTTCTTTGCAATGCTAGGGATCAACCCCAGGGCCTCCTGCATGCTAGACAACTGCTTTACCACTGAGTTATACCCCCAGCCCACACTATAGCTTTTTTTTTTTTTAAGATTCATTCTGTTTTCTAATTTACTATATTAAACACAATTAAAAACTCTAAAATTACTTGCATAAAAGTAGAAAAATAATCAAGAACTCTTAATTTCACCCAAAAAACTGCTAGTGAGAATACACAATAGTATTATTACATTGGAATATTTGGGGTAAGTTTCTAGCAAAATATGAATCTACTCTATGCATATCAATTTCACTCAATGGAATTAACCCAAGAGAAATATAAGTAAATTTCTGCAAGACTTGTACAAGAATGATCAGAATAGTTTTAGTCATTGTAGCCACAACCAAAAACATTCCAAAAGTCCACTAACAGGAGATGATACATAAACTATTGTATGTCCATGGGAGAAAATATACTACGAGTAAAGTACAGATATGCACAACATGCATGAATCTCACAAAATTGTTTGGTGAAGGAATACAGATACAAAGTGATGTCCATTGTATGATTTTACTTCAAGTTCAAGAACATAACAATATAATCCATGGTGATATAAATCAGAATCTAATGGTTTGAGGATGAGTGAAGGGAAAATTTATTGGAAAGAGGTAAGAGGAAACTTTTTGGGTAAAGGAAATATTCTGTATCCTTTTTGCATGTGGATACACAATTTTATGCATTTATCACAACTCATTGAGCTGATCTATGAATTTTATCTCTTTTTAAAACAAATCATACTTCAATTCTTAGTATTTTCATTTTTAAAATAAAAACTCATTGTAAGTTCTGACCCAAAGTCTATGTGGGGAGAAACTCACAAGAAAGAATGGAATCAGAACAGCTGCTGTGCTGTAGATAATTTCCTAGGCAGAGAATGATTCCTCTGTAGTGCCCCTAAGCATACCCTTTGCATCTGGAGGTGTGGAACGAGGCCTGAGTATGAAGTATGCCTTAAGTGCCCATATATAGTTAAATAGCTTTGGAGACAATCAAAAACTATGCCCCAAACATAATCCTAACAACCCAATAAACAGAACTCTCATTTTCTTCAGATGGAGTTCATAATAATGGTCTCCACACACTTTTTTTTAATTTTTAGAAATTGAATATGTGTAAATTAGAGAAAAAAGTATGAATGTAAGTCCTTATTTTTATAGAATTTCTCATACATAAGCTATTCCAATTTTGCTAGCTGTCATCAGCCATTCAAAAAAATTATACCTACTACCTTAAATATTCTATTTATTTAGCCCATCAATAATATTGCCAGAAATGTAATAAGAGAACAAGGTTGCTGTAGCTTAGCAATTACAAAAACAGTCCTGTGTTACTTAGAGAATGAGCAATAAGCAAAAATAACCCTTCTGAGCCACAGATAGTAATTTACTAATAATAGGAATTCTAAAAACTGGTACAAAGAAAAAGCATTTAAAAGGACTTATCTGAGATCATTAGAGAATCTCAGATTCCCTACTCCCACCCCATACAGAAACATGGTATTCATCTACTATCCTTATAAAAAGGTCAGGAAGGAAACTTTGTCATTTCCCACAGTGCATACAACAGTGCCTGCTCCTCAGTTATTTCATATTTTGATGTGAGTATAGTATGCATGTACACATATTATAAATGTGTGCAGGTTAACACATTTTCCATTTGATTTAAGTTAGTAACATTGACTTATACAGTTTGTGTTAAGTGTTGACTCTCACAAGGAAAGTGGTGCATTAGATTTGGTCTCCACATTCTTCTGCTCCAAGCTGGATACATTCATTAATAAGAGTACAAAATATTATTATTTATCCTTAGGTCAGGACAAAATTATTAGGGGTTAAATTCTGTCACAGTTAAGAGAAATTATTTGTGCCCAATGCTACATTTTATCTTTACATTACAATGTGCATGTGAATAGTGTTGCCCCAGCAAATGTCATTTTCCCTTTGAAATGGGATCTGTTTTTCAGCTCTAGTTCAAGTTGCCTGGAGTGGCAGCATTTAAAAAATAAAAAGATTCCATTTCAGCACAATTCAACATCTGAGGATGGAAAGAGAAAGTGCAGACCTTTTAAAATCTGTTTAGCCTTTGTGTTATTTTGTTAAAATGATAGACTGTACCCCCTTTAAGGGACTGAGACTGAATATTGAAAATTGTAAAGCAAAATCACTAGGCAAAACCTAAGGGAAACTGGCATTTGGTTAAACACAACAAATGAACAAGTGCCAAAGAGTTACATTTAAGGGCACCAGCAGTCATTTAGTTACAGGCAATTAACAATAGTCCTTGGAAAGCTCCAGTATAGGCTAAGGGAAAACACATTGATTATTGCTGCAGTGGTAGACTACTTTCGGAATAAATTGCTTCAATTTAAAACTAGATTTGCTACAAGCATTTTGAGCAATGACTACAATTTTTTTCTTATCAAGACAGTTGGAGCAAGCAACCCTTTAAAAGAAACAGCTAATTAAAATAAAGTACATGCCATCTCTTAGTATATTGGATTACATTGCAAATAATAAATGCATTTATTTGGTTTACACTAATCTGGGTGCAATTACCTAGTATAGTTTGGGATCCTATTTTTTATTGGCCTGGACCTGGTGTTATTGTTTGTAAACTTTTCTGATAGAAATGTTTGAAGAAGCAAAGATTTTGACAAAGTAAATAAAACTTCATGAGTGTTTTTGAACTCAAAAGTTTTTTATTTTATTTTATTGTATCAAGGTTTGAACCCAGGAGCACTTTTTCCCTGAGCCACATCTGCAATTCTTTTTCTTTTTTCTTTTTTTTTATTTTGAGACAGGGTCTCCCTAAGTTGCTAAGGGGCTTGCTAACTTGCTGAGGCTGGTATTGAACTTGTGATCCGCCTGCCTCAGCCTCTTGAGTTGCTGGGATTATAGGCCTGTGCCACAGTTCCTGGCTGGAGTTTTCATTTTGTATCTCTATTCTTTGAATGTCCCCTCCACCCCCCCCACCCCCCCTCTCTCTCTCTCTCTCTCTCTCT